GAGGCAGAGGCAGACAGATCTCTCTGAGTTCAAGGTCAGCCTGGTCTACATAATGAGTTCTAGGCCAGCTGGGGCTACAAGGAGACCCTGTCTCAAAAAGACAAAAAAAAAAATTCAATAAGGTCTAAGGCAAGTGATTTGAAAAACTACAGATTCAAAGGATTAAGAAATGAAAGTTCTGGGAAGGGAATAGAATTTTCAATATTTAGCATGTAAAGTGTTCATATTAATGGGGTTTGAGTGGGACTGATGAGAGATAATAACAGAAAACTTTCCAAACCTAGAAAAGCATTCAAATATCTAGGTAGAGGAAGGTCAAGTGACTAGTCCAGTTCAACTCAAGACTATTCCCAAGACATAAAACAAGGATCTTGAAGGATAAGAACAAAATTCTCAAAGTAGAACGATAAACAATCAAATTACATGTAAGCATGTTTCAATTCACCAGAAATAAGACCTCGCCACAAAAAGGTTACAGGCCAGGAGAGTTTGGGGCGAGATGTTCACAGTTGTGAGAGTGGAGAAAATCCTACTGTGCCCAGCAAAGCTATCCTTCAGAAATAAAAGAGAGCTAAAACATTCCCAGACAAAAGCCAGGCATGGTAGTCCACACCTTCAGTCCTGGCACTTGGAAGACAGAGGCAGACAGATCTCTGTGAGTTCAAGGCCAGCCTGGTCTATGTAGGGAGTTCCAGGCCAGCTGGGGCTACAGGGGAGACCAAAACAGCAAAAAAGAGAAAAAACAACAAAATCATTCCCAGCAAACCGAATCTAAGAGAGTTTATCACCACCATGACCACCCTACAAGAAATGCTCAGAGGGGCTTGGGGGCTAGAGAGGTGGTTCAGTAGTTAGTGTGCTTACTGCTCTGGAGCGTACCCAGCGAGGTGGAGTCAGGTGCATCCCTGGCACTGGCGCTCCGTGCCAGCCTCGCTTACTTGCAAGTTCCAGGCCAGTGAGAAAAAAGAAAAAGATGAAAGAAAAAAGGTGGGTGAGGGACAACAGATGAGGTCACCCTCCGGCCTTCACATGCACACACCTGCGCACTTGGACACGCACACACAAAGAAGAAAATCAACAACAGCATAGTTAAACCATGCCCTAGACCAAGGGGAGCTGACAAGCGGCCAGGTAAACATACCCTCCGACAGCTACGGGACATAAGTTCTTCACAATACAAAAAATCTCTCTGGGGGTACCTGTAGGGTAAGCCACAGAAATCTCTCGGCAAGTTTTTAAAAATGAATCTGTAACAAGTATGTTTTCTGACCACACTGTAATAACACTAGTAATCCATAACGACAAAAACTTTGGAAAATATCCAAATACATAGAAATTTTAAACACACTTCTGACCAATCAATAGATTAAGGACGAAATGGGCCGGGTGTGGTGGTGCATGCTGTTGGTCCCAGCACTTGGGAGCCAAGGACAGGCAGATCTCTGTGAGTTCAAGACCAGCCTGGTCTACTAGTGAGTTTCAGGCCAGCTCGGGCTACAGGGAGACCCTGTCTCAAAATGACAAAAAAAAAGTCAAGACAGAACATACCAAAGCCTACGATGTGAGGGGAAAGCGAGAGCCATCAACACCACGTCACAGCACAGCCATCTGAAACAGTCCAGTGTACCAGATGCAACTAGAAAGTAGGAACAAAGCAAGGTTTATTAGAGAACAAAAATCTGGTCAGTGTGGAGGAGAAGGAACTCTTGTCTCTAGAGACAGAGCTAAGCATGGCCAGGCTGGAAGGGTATCAGGGCTCAGATCACTCAGGATGTTGTGGGTTATGATCAGGAGTCTTAGTCATGTTTTCAGGGCAATTTGGAAAAGGGAGAGACTTTAAACAGATCAGCCTTGTGTGATGGTTAGTCTTATTTTTATTTCAAGTTTTTCTTTTATTCATGTGTATGTATGTATTTCTGTGAGTATGCCACATGTGTGCAGGTGCCTGTGAAGGACAGAACACTGGATGCCCTGGAGCTGGAGTTACAGGCAGTTTTTGAGGCACCTGACATGGGTGCTAGAACTAAACTCCAGTCCTGCAAGAGCAGTACTCACTCTTCACTGCAAAGCAGTCACTCCAGTCCCAGATGGTCAGTTTTAATTTTCAACTGACATGACCTAGAATCACCTGGGAAGACAGTCTTAATAATGGACTATCTACACTGGGTTGGCCCGTGGGCATGTCTATTGGGGATTGTCTTAGCTGGTGTGAAAAAGCCCAGCTCACCCTGGGTGGCAGTATTCCTTAGGCAGGGAGTCCTGAACTATGTAGGAAGGGAGGAACTGTGAGCTGTGCACACGCAAGTGAGCATGAATGCATTCATATCTCTTTGACTGTGAATGTGATCAGCTGTTTTAAGCTCCCGTTGCTGTGATCTGAGCTAAAATAAACCCTTCCTCCCTGAAGAAAAAGGTATTTTATCACAGCCACAGAAACCAGGACACCTCCCTGGTGACTCATCGAAAAGACAGTGTAAGCAGGGTACGAGGAGGCTGGGAAACTCGGAGGCTGTTGCTGCCCCCGAACAGAGAAAGACACTGGCTTGGAGGAGAGAAGAGGGTTAATGGTCACTCGTGGCAATACTAAGCCTCGTGTTGTATATTAAGCCCCCAGCTCATAGGAAATGCTCAGTAAATCTAAGCTCTAATTTTATGTGATCCTTGAATGAATCTGGAGATTAGGACTGTAGCTATCAGTTCCTGCTGAGCCTACATGGCTGAATGCTCAGTTTGGTCCTGTGAACGGAGGGACAAGCGAGACTCAGGCGTCCTCATCCCCACTCACCCCAAGCAGCAGCTCACTGAAGCTCCTGGCTCCTTCATCTTTCCCATCACCCTCCGCAGCAAGGTCAGAAGCCTTGAAATGTGTCAGATCTCACACCCACTTTGAATATTCACATAGCTTTGAATTTCCCAAGTGTCAGAGTGGGCCAGAGGGACCTTTGGAGAGTTCAGCCTGTGTTACTTACTTTTCTCATTGCTGCAACAACATATCTGGCAAAGGCAACTTGAAGGGGGAAGGGTTTGGTTTGGGCTCACAGTTTAAGGGGACAGTCCATCATGTGGGGAAGGCACGGTGGCAGGAGCTTCGTTGCACCATAGCCACAGTCAGGAAGCAGAGAGAGGCATGCTGGTACTCA